GAGAGGGGGAGGGTGAGACAGCGAGAGAAATAGAGAGAGACAGAAAGAGTGTGTATGTATGTATGTGTGTGTGTGTGTGTGTGTGTGTCTGTGTGTGTGTGTGTGTGTGTGTGTGTGTGTGTGTGTTTGTGTGTGTTTATGCGTTTGTTAATGTGTGTGATGGAATGTGTGAAACTATAAATGTGTGTTTGCACTCAAGTGTACGTGTGAGCATGTGTGCATAATAAGCACAATTTGCTGTTTTCCCACTTTGAATTAGTGGAAAGATTTTTTTTTTCCAAAGTTTCTTCAGATTGTTTCAAAAGAAACTTAAAATGATTCGGTACCTCATCTAATTCTTTTGAATTTCATGCCCTGTTTCAGCACTTACAGTCTAGGCTGGGATTTGTTAGATCTGAAAGTTCAGTTTTTCCACTTGTAGACTGTGGATGTAGACAGTTTGTTGTCAACTAAAAAGGAGGCGCAACTTTCCCGCCGGTGAGGTGACAGGCGTGACAATCTTCTGGTGTACAACTGATAGCAAATTTCCAGCTGACCTGTCTTTCCGAGGATCCTGTCTTGGAAAGAATCCCCCCCCCCCCTCCCAAGAAAACAACAACAACAAAGGAGACAAACAATGGCAACAGGTAAAATAAGAACAACAGCAATAACACAAACAGCACCAACAACAACAGCAACAATGACAACTACAACAACAACAAGCAATAATAACTACAACAACAACATTACTAAAAACAAAGAAAAAATACCCCCAAAAGCAACCTTAACCACCCCCCCCCCAAAAAAAAGAATTGCATCTAGTGAGCAATGTCTTTAGGAATCATAGAAAGGTCTTCCTTACTATCTCCCTGAAAAACACCCCATCTCCTGTGTCTATAAACACTCTTTAGTCCTTTTATTTCTTTTGAAGACAATAAAATTTTAACTTCTTCTTTTGGATAGTTTCAGGTCAAAGACATGTCTGGAGAAGAAGAAATAATGTAATGTGACTCTATTCCCATAATTCTCAGGGAAAAACGTTGCAGTAGGACTTGAATATAAGAGTATAAAATGGCATCTAAACGTTTTATGGGTATGTAAAGATAATCCATACGAGCGTACAAGTGAACTTTGAAATTGCCTTCCCAGTCGACGCACATTCACACACGCGTGTGCAAGCACTAACATAATCATCATAATAAGAATAATAATAATAATAATAATAATAATAATAATAATAATAATAACAATAATAATAAAAACAATAATAATGATAATATAATATTAATACTACAACTACTAATAATAACAATAATACTAATAACACTAATAATAGTAATAATAATAAAAATAATAATAATAATAACAATAATATAGTAATAACAATAATAATATACATGTACACATATTCACTCACTGATAAACTACACGCTATATTCACTCTCAAATTTCATCTTCCTCCCACTGACGCATTTATAAAAATCATTGCAAAATATTATACCAGTTAAAGCAAGCATGTTAACGTTATGTTATGAATTGCTCTTGCATATTCGTTCAATGCAAGTCCATGCACACGCACTGATGCACGTCTACATGGACAAATAAACACGCTCAAAACAAAAATGACATAAACACTTCTTTTTTGTTTTGGTTTAGTAAGAGTTTTACGGCACTTGCAACACAAATGGGTCATATAGGTGCCGATGATCAGAGGTGTTACAAGAGGATAATAAAATCAAAAAGAAGGAGGAGAAATACGGACAATAGATGTTTGATAGGAAAGATGGAGCAAAAACCTCACCAGAGAACCCACCAACCACCAACATAAGTACTTCATAATCAATCCTTTGCATAAAATTGTTTGCATAATCAAAAACAAATTAATGCATTCACGTATGCACACACATAATAAACAAAAACAGACCCCAAAACAAACAGGAATAGCGTCAAATACACGCATGCACGCATACACGCAAACACACATACTCACAAACACGCACACATAAACACAAACATACTTCCTCCAGGCCCCAGCACGCACGCCCGCTCAAACCCATGCTCTCCCACACTCACCAACAAGCACATCTTGTAAGACGCAAAAAGAGAAAATGGCGGACGTAGAAACAAAGCAAAGTACACACAATCAGGGCCCCCCAGAGTCCTTGAGGGAGATCGATCGAACTGACAATCTCATTCCTACCTGCCTTGCATCCGTGATGAAACGGGAACCAGGCCGCTTGTCGTCAACTACTAGGGGGCGGGACTAACGCCATCGGAGACCACGCCTTGAACGGTGCCAGAACGTATGGCATCGCGCCTGGTACTCGCGCCCCAAGACTCAACGCCTTTCAACCACTCACAGTGCCACATGTTTGCTCGGTGTCTGTGAGTGCCACACGTTAACACCTCACAGACACGCGAACTGATCTCTATTCTCCTCGCTCTTGAATTTCGATTTGTCTATTTTGAACGGAAGTGAGAGGATCCGCGCTCGCATTTTGCTTTAATGAGGACTTACGAT